TTTTGCCCTCAATCATACACTTGCACACACTTCAAGACACATTATAATATATTAATGTAAAGATAATATTATTATTTTTATTAGTGGTAAATCCATATATTTATAATAAAACAATAGTTTTCCAAGAAGATAACAAGACAAAACTGTAAACTATAACATGCAGTTATTCATGTATTCAGTTCCGTTTTATTTTGCATATTTCTCAATCTTCCTCCAACAAAAAGATTTCGAATAAACAAGACGAACTTTGACAATGAAAGTTTGTTAACTAAAATTTTCATGCAATATTTTTCACCATGGCTTTTAAATATAATTATTTTAAAAATTGTATTTTAACTTTCAATATATTTGACATCTCTTTTGCGGCAATCCGGTTCCTCCGTCAAGATGTCCTCTCGGCGCGCCATCACCCTCTGTACCCGTTCCGGTCATCTCTCCTGATGTGGTTCCGTCTCTTCTGGGCGGTAGCATCGGTGTTTTGCGGTCTCGACCTAGGTCCACCGACCTTTTTCTCTTCTTCTAAGTGTTATGAAAACCGGACCGGACCAGCCGGTCCGACCGGTTAAACCGTGAACCAATCAATACACCGGTTTGGTTCTCTACCACAAACCGGCTGTCAGCAAAACCGGTCAAAACCCGGTCAACTGCCGGTCGAACCGTTAAAACCGGACAAAACCGGCCAAAAATCAAGTGATCTAACCGCTCACTGTTTCTTTGGTTTGGTAAGGCAAATAAATGTTAACACATATATACTGGAACTAACCTATTGTGACAAGCAATGTGGGACAAGCAGGGGACAAGCAGGGTAAAAGAATTGCAACTGTTAAGCCGCGTGGGTGGGAAGCCTGGAGGAAATTTTCTTTTTCCACAATTTTCAATTTTATCCTATTAATTTTATAAAACACACGAACTCACTTTGTTAGATGTAACACAACATTAAATTTCAAATATAGCCATTCCTGATTTAAATTTATAGTTAATAAATAATAATTGTATGTTGCAAGTATGAAAAACTAATTGTACCTCATTTTAAATAAAAAATCGTCAAATTTTTTTTGTATTCTATAACTATAAACTTTGATTATAATCATGTAAATGAGCTCATTAGTATTATATATTTCTAAATATCAATAAATTAAATAACTTAAAATTAAGTTTATACTTTTGAAATATTATATATTTAAAAATATCAATAAATTAAATAACGGTTCAACCACTGGTCAGAGAAGTAAACTATTGAACCAGTAGTTTGACCGGTTCGATAACCGGTTCGGTTTTCCGAACAATGCTTCTTCTACGCCATCTCTGGAAATGAGACGGGGAGTTGCTCCTGGTGATTCCGTCTTCTGGCTTAGGGATTTAATGGTTGTGGTCAGATTTGGCTCAGTGAGTTCTTGCTAGTAGTCACCAGGGCTTGGTAAAGGGAGTGGTTGGGCTTGCAATTGGTTGAAGGTCTGGTTCGGGCGTCTTCGAACCTCGACTTCCTGTTTGCACAGGTTAAGCTGCTCCTTCGGCGGGCTAGCGATCGCTGTTGTCGAGTGGGCATCGTCCAATTTCCTTTGAGGTCAGTTCTCTCAACTAGATTCAGCTGAATAGCAGAGTTATTTGGTTGTTTAGTTGTTCACTAGTGTATAATTATGTGTTTTTTTAATGGAAAGTCTATCGTTTTAAAAAAAATACATATATTTGACATCTTTTATTAGGAATTGTACTTCTTTTGCTTGATTAATGGAAAATAATGATGCAAAACAATGAATAGACTATAAAAGATAAAATATAATATAACTTACACTAAAATTTAAGTTATGTATCACGAGTTCATTGCATATACATTTTACTAGTATTTATATATATTTATTTGTATGTTTTATGATTTTGACTGTATGATAATTTATGATTTTTCAGGTAAATCATGTGGGCTACTTTCACAATGGACGAAATTTAAAGCTACATAATGTTGACCGACTCTGGCCTTTTCAGCAACAGCGATTTTCATTTGACGCTGCTCTAATATATAAGGTAATAATTGGTCAAACAATGGCAGGGCTCCAAAGCATTTCTTGGAGAAGATATATAAAGAAAAGAGAACCAAATAGGACTCCGTTAAAAATATATATGACCATTGAATTTGTAATTACAAATAAAATATAGTATAAGACTAAGACTGCACAGTAAGAGCAGAATTTTATCGACCATAGACCACAACTGAGTAAAACATGAGGTAGTGTGGCTACAAAATGGAAGTGAACCATGGAAATTTCAAATTAACCAAAGAGAAAATCATACGAGTTTGGAAAACCAGAGAAATTAACAGAGCTTGCTTGTAATTGTGATATATGCAATTTTAATGAGAATGATTATATATCAAGGTTTTAAATAGCGGGCTAAAATGTTTATGGCACTGTAGCTATAGCGGAGCTATAACGGAGATTTAGCGAGATTTAGCGGCTAAATTGCACATGAATACAAATAGCGGCACGCTGTAAAAAAAAAACTATTTCTCAAATAGCGGCAACTTTAGCGAACTATTTATTTCCTTGTTATATATTGTCTGTTCTTCACGAGTTTCGGATATGTAATTATAATGGAGTATATTTCACTCCTATTGATTCTGCAAAAGGTAGAAAACGTTGAAAATTAGGTCAAAATTATGGATCAATATACGTATACAAAATTTATATATGCATTGTTTTTCGATTTTCCTTTTACAGCAAGGAGAACATATATGATGGATTATTGTAAAGGAAAAGAGCTCTTTGTTATATATATATGAAAAGAAATTTGGTATGCAATACCAATACAGGTCATGTAGGAAGATGGGTTGCTACTTGAAACCAACACATGATGACTCTCATTTCACAAGCAGAATCATGATGTTCTCGTACTTGTTTGGCGGGGCATCCCTTGAAGTTGTAAAGTTATCTATACCATTAATGTTTTTGTGATGTGTCTGATAGATTAATGAAAAGGTCATTTTAGGAGGGCCTCAACATTGATTTGTACACATTTCCTTTCAGTTTATATGTCCTTCGCAGTAAGGTGCACATTCAGTGGAAAGCAAACCGAGCCGACCAGAAAATTCGGTCCATCCATTATTAAAAGCGAAAACCGACCCGAAATTAATGGTTTGGTTCTGTTTTTAACCCAATATCTATCGGTCGATTCGGTTAGATTATCAGTTAACCAAACTTATTCAAAAGATTCCAAACCAAATTCTTTCCAAGTGAAATACCAAAATCCTTTTCGAATCTGAAAAGCCCTACTGAAGCAAGATGTCGATAATTTAGAACCCACAAGTGTGCAACTCAGATCAAAGACATTTCAATCAACAAAAATAAATAAATAAATAAATAAATATAACGATGACCTGGTAAAAGAAGAAAGAGAGCGATTGATAAAAAATTGAGAGCTTGAATTGGCTCAATTGAAATTCACCAAATCAATTCAATTAAATAGGGTTTTGCCGAATTTGTTCAACTGAAACACGACTCTGAGCCTGAGGAGCAGCCCGTACGAGGGATTTAATTTGGGTTGCCTGAGGAGCATCCCGCACGAGGGATTTGGGTGGAGAGCTCACTGATGGAGTTCTACTACTTTGAGAAGACGAGTCGTCGAGTGCTGAATAGGGCTTTGCAGATTCAGGTGTGTGACGGAGCGCGATCGACGAACACTGAGTGCGGCGGGTTGGAGATGAAGATAAAGATGAAATGTAATGGGCCTGGGTGATTCAATATGAGTTTAGGTTTTAGGAAGGAGACCAAAGATAAAGATAAAGAGAAATGTAATGGGCGTGGGTGAATTCAGTATGAGTTTAGGTTTTAGGAAGGAGACCAAAGATAAAAATAAAGAGAAATGTAATGGGCCTGGTTGAGTGGCAGAGTGGCATGCGGGCAGAGGCATTTGGTGCCTGGTGGGCCTCATTTTTATTTGCTTACCTAAAAACATGGGCTGTGTAATATTGGGATTTTATAACTTATACAAATAATTTCGGTTTTCGGTTTGGTTTGGTTAACCGAGCACATATATCATAATTAAATTGAAAACTGAAATTTTAAGAAACTACAAATCAAAAACCGAACTAAATATTCGGTTTCCATTTCGGTCCAAATGAATTTTCAATTTCGATCGATTCAGCTCGGTTAACCATATTGTGTGCACCCATTTGCGCAGACACTAAACATGTGCTTGTTGGATTTTGACAAAAGATGTGCATATATTTGAACAAGATGTCAAAACTAAATTCAAATTTCTTAAATACGTGGAGTTGATTGTTGTCAGCCTACATTATATGTATGAAAAAATAGTTATTTTTCACTCGCCCTAAAGATGAACTCACTTTTACAAACAATCAACTACTAGCACTACAAGAAAATGATGAAATTCTGATGGAAAGTTCCAACGAAAATATATTCCAATAGAATTCCAACAATAATTTCAATAAATTTTCCAATGTTATTATTTTATGTACGCGTAAATATTACAGCTTATATAGAAGGAGGACAGGTGATAGAGGACAAAACATACATTTATTATGCAACACGTGGCTCGGAAGAATAAAGACATGTATGTTTCGATTGGTGTCCAAGCTCAAGGCCGAGACCCAACCTCAATTTAGGCCCAAGGTCCTGAAGAGTTTCACTTTAAGTCAAGGTTCTGAGGAACCTAACTTTAGGACAAGGTCCAAAGGTGACCCAACTGGTGGACCATAGTCCACCAAGCTAGTGGGTTGAGAAGTCCTCCGTCTGCACAGTGAAGACCTTGGTCATCCGACCTTTATAAAAGGATGACCTAGGTCAAAGTAAGGCTATACACTCTCTTTTACTCAATACTTTACAGCCGCCACCCCTAAATCTAAAATCGATTCTAACTTAGGCATAAGAGGATCTACCCCGAGACAACCCCGGGGTTATGTTTTGCAGGCGACAGAGCGAAGGAGACACACAAAGGAGGACGTCGGAGCATACATCGCCGCCATGTGTCCTCGGACTACCGTCAGGTATTTCGTGTATCATCAACGCCAGAAACGAAAGATAAAAACAATCCCACAAAAGAAATAGGTCGGAATGGAGAAAATGTAACTCATCTATATACATCAAGTGTACGTTTTGTTCTCATAAAAAAAAACCAGCCGAGGAACACCTTTTAGCTTGACATATCCTTTAAACTCAATGATTATGGAATCTTTACAGACAGACATTTACTCAAAAGAAATCAAGCAACTCTTGAGAGAGAAAAAAATTTGAAAATAAAAAACCAACATAAGAAAAGAAAATGCAGCTCATCAAGAATTATCGACCTCGTAGGAATATGAAAGCCAAGGGTGTTGTAGTGCCTCCCTAGCTGTTAGCCGTCTCTTTGGATTGATCTCGAGCAGGCATTTCAAAAATTCAATGAAACAAGAATCTGAAACATCTAAGTGATGCTCCAATGATGTCTCATCAGGGACAATATACTCCAGCTTGTTCGTGTCCTATTGCAAAAATGAGGAAAAGGTGTATGTAACAACACTGGACAAAAGGTTTGCAGTTTCTCAGTAAATATTCCTACTGAAGAATACAATATGTAAATATAATCACATTATTACAGAGCTGCTTGTAAATTTTAGTAGATAGTTGGACAAGTTGTATCTAAACTCAAGGATATTTTCTTTGATTCATGCCTTTATCAACTAGGAAAGGAATATATGCAGATAATTTTTAATAATTATGACATTACAACGAAGTTGCAAAAAGAGTAAAATAAAACTATCAACATAGTAATGCACTTCAACGTAAAAACAAGAAGCCAAATTTAATGTTGTAATAGATGTTGTATCAGGTCATACAGGAAGCGATGTGTAGAAACTATTCGAGCAGAGGTCAAATTTAGAAACTAAATGCAGAAAAATCAAACCAAGATACAAGATCTTACCTCGTTTATATAATACAGATCATACTCTTTGGTAAAGTACTTGTGTGTCTCTTGGCCCTGTTGGAGCATTTCCATGTCAATCGGGCCAAGCACACCTATCATGCGCGCAAGAATAGTTACAATTGCCTCATTTGGAAAGAGCACCTGCCATATATAAACACAAACCACCAAACATTTGAATGCGCTAAACCAATAGAAATAATCTCTGTTAAAATCTACAAGAATGACTTTAGAAGTGCACCAGTTCACCTCAACTAGATTTGCTGTGATTAGCTGAAACTTCAGGGTTCCTTTTCAAATAATCAATATCTTATTAATAATGCGTAGGAGAACACTCCATTATTTAATACATACCTCGCCCGTACACAACTCCGCCAAAATGCACCCAAGCGACCACAAGTCGATCTTCTGGTCGTACGGAAGGCCCAACATAACCTCTGGCGCTCTGTAAGAACGGGACTGCACATACAAGGATAGGTTGTCTGTTTGAAAGCAACTGCTCCCGAGATCTATAACTTTTATCTCACATCTTCTATAACTTTTGATCAGAATATTTTCCGGCTTTAGATCACAATGAATGATTCCCAGGTCATGCAGGTATGTTAGAGCCTCCAAACATTGCTGGGTTATGATCTACAACGAATAAGTTCTCACACCATTCAGTATCTCAGTATCCAAAAGAAAAATATCAATTAATATTGTCTTTAGCTTTTTCTTTTTTCTTTTTTTTTTTTAGGTGAGAAGTAGAGAAAAAAGAAGTTCAGGAGATAAAAAGACAATGAAAAAAGGACCTGCAGTCTATGCAATGTAAAATATGGCTCCCCACCGGATTCTTGGTTGTATTTCTGAAATTCGTACAAGTTTGCTCGCAAAAGTTCAGTGACGATAAATAGATGTTCCTGCAACAAGATTGGAAACGAAAACAAGATTAACGGAGATGAGAAAAAATGGAGAGCTTATGATAGTGTTACGTGTAGTGAATTATATCAAACAATTTATATTGGTTCTGCATGATAAAATTAAATTTGTGTCATAATTCTCTGTTGTAGAAGCATTAATCCTTTTTTTTATCCTTTTTTTTTTTTTTGACACTTATGACTCTGAGTTACATATCAAAAGATTATTTACGAGTATTTATTCATACTCATCCATCTGATACGACATGCACAGACACAAGAATCTACGATAAAAAATCTGGAACATTTTGCATTTTTACTCTATGACGTCAATCTTGGAGAAAATACTGAATCAAGCCTCAAGCTTTAATTTTATCAGTACCACAAGAAATTGGAAACCGAATAAAAGACGGTAACTAAGGTTCAACCATCCACTACGAAAGTAAATCAATCAAATTAGTAAAACACTAAGCTCTCTCTCTCTCTCTCTCTCTCTCTCTCTCTCTCTCTCTCTCTCTCCCTCTCACACACACACACACACACACACACATACCTGGCAGTAAAAATAATCATAAAGACGTAAAATATGACTTTCATCAGCGGGATCATGCTTGTTCACAAACTTCAGAAGCTTGATCTCATCCAAGCTCTGATCGAAAAAGTCTTTGTCGTTTTTTATGATCTTCAAGCAAACATCCAGGCCGAGGCAAAGGTCATGGGCCTGGACAACCTTACTAAAAGCAGCAGATCCTAGGAACTCTGTGACATAGTATCGACCGGCTATGATACTGTTCATCACGATTGGGAAATCTTTGTTCTCTTCGAATCCTGTTCTGTGAAGTGCATAACCAAATCCAAATGAATACAATCTGAGTATGTTATTACAAATCATTCAATCTGAGAAACGTGAACACAACAAACTCAAGATTCTATCATTTAGTGAACAAAAGGAAAAACGGCTACTAACTTGTTTAGAGAAATCGACATGACTTCCTGAAAGCAAAATACATTCATTTTTTAGTCTATTTGCAAGGGATAACAGGTAAATATGTTGTAGAAATGATTATAATTTTAATAGTAGAGTCAAACCAGAAGAAGAATCAAATTCGAAGAAGATTCTAACTATAATAGCCAAAACAAGAAGCATAAGATGATAATTGAAAACACATAAAATACTTTCTAATGCATTTCCCATCCGAAAAGCGAAAGCTAACAATCATATTTTCTTGTATCTCTTTTCTTTTTTCCTTCCATTTTTTTTCCTTTATGGCTAAGGAGGATACTGAAGTAGCAAGAACAATAACTTACAAACCTGTTTTTCCTGTGAATAATCCTTAGACTGAATATATCAAAATCATCTTCCTTAGAATCACACATTGATACACCATCCTCTTCGTTTAACACAACTTGAGGTTCATTGGATTCTCCTGCAATAACCTCATCATATACAAACTCATGGTTTTCGTTCTCGTTTTTCTCATCGCTTTTCTTATCTGCGCAAAATTCATCCATATCATCAAATTTACCTCCAACCCAATCGTGCAAACCATTTGGGCTTACACAATTTTCATTTACATCTTCGGTTTTCATACCCACCAAATTATACTGTGCACGATCTGTATAAACTTGAGTACCCTTATCACAACAAGCACAAAGAGTAGCCGAACAAGTATAATCCGAGAATACTTGTTCGTGTTTTTGCTTATTTCTCTCGAGTACAAAAAGTTGGCCCAGCTCATAATAATCTTTGCTAGCCTTGTGTTTCGAGTTTTCTTTCTCAACAGTTGTGATGTACTTGTCCTCGGCGTAAAAATCCTCGTCTTTCTCCTTGTACCAGAAGAGGTCGTTTTGCATATCAAAATCAAGGTAGTCCCGAGCCGTGCCGAACTGGGATAGCCTGTCGGATGATGACTGGGAGGACGGCCGAATACCATACGGATTTGTAAATTCTGGGTAAATTAAAAGACAATGCAAATGTTGGTTTGGAAATGGATAAATCGAGGGAAAATGAAAAGAAGAAAAATTCCACCGATTTGGACATAATTCCCTCGGTTTATAGACGAGACTGGGATTGGCCTTTAATTAATTATTAACCTTGATCAAAAAATTCAGAACCTCATATTCATTACTGATTCATTCATGGCTTCCCTTTTTTACCGAGAGGATCTTCCTTTCAATACAACCTTAATTCTTGCTGTCGGGGCAGAATTTTCATATATGCTCAGACACTCAGTTTCTAACAAACAAAGTTGACCAAATTCGGAAAGAAACAAAAATAACAAAATTACCAGAACAGCACAATTCAGTGGTAGAAGAGCCGGCGGGACTCACGAACTCATCATCGGACAAACTCTTGGAGCTCTCACCGCCGCCTTCACGAAGCTCAGGAATCCTCAGCGACGGCGGCGCCGGCGCCATGGGGAAGAAGAATTTCTCGAATTCAGAAGAAGCGAGTTGGGATTTTTCAATGATGTCCTCTGTGAGAGCCGATTCGCTCTCCGACAGACCATTCTTCCTCAGGAATTCCAAAACTGACTCCAATTCAACCTCCGCCATGTGAACGAACACACACACACAGAGACAGAGAGAGATTTGAGATTGAGGTTGAGGTTGAGGGTGAGTTCAGGATAGATGAGAAATGAAGAAAAGGTGAAGAAATAGCAGAGGTGGTTTCATGGTGTCTGAGAGACCAACCGTGGGACTGCTCTCTGTTCATTGCTTCATTTTGGTCGATCACTTTGAATATTAACGTGTAGACTGTAGAGTTATGAGTATCCATTTTTGCTTTTCTTTTTTCTCACTTCTGGTGTGTGCAGTAAAAGAGAAGCCAAAAAATCTATTACCAACTTTGAGAAAAACCAAAAGGGGGCAGGAGTTTATCAAGTGGGCCCTGAACACGTGGCAGGGTATATTGCCTACTAGGAGGAAACGATGTAATCTAGGTCGTTTTTTTTTTTTTTTTTGGCAAATCCAACTTGTATAGTTGTATTATACAGAAGAATCTATTATTATCCTATAAAGATGCAATGATATTTATTTGAAATAGAATTTAAAATTTATTTGGATTCAGTTTAAAATTTTAGAATTATTGAAATAAGTTTTTTTTCTTAAATCCAGAATATCCCGCTTAAATGTGTTTTAAAATTTTTGAAAAACTTTAAATCTAAATTTAAAAGGAAACAATCACAAATTTAAATCGCCGTCGAACCCTTTTTTTTCTCTCTAAGTCTGTTCACGAAACCCTTTCCTCTCTCTTGCAGAATCTCGATTTTTGTCGCTCCGGCCTCCTCGTCGACGGCGAGGCTCGAGCCTGTGGTCGCCGTTGACCGCATGTTCCGTCCCTGACGTCGCACATTCTCCCTTTCGCTGCAGTTGTTGGCAATGGATTCGCCGTCAACGAGACCTCGATTAGGGTGGTGGGCCCTCGATCTGAGTCCGAAGGCCGTTCTCCGTCGACGGGTCTCCGATTGGAGGGGTTCTGCCCCTCGATCTCCCTCTTGTCTTGCGTACGAGGACCTCCGGTCGCCTCTGATGTTGGAGCCCTCGGTGGTAGTGCGGGGGTCCATTTTCTGGCGGTTTGTGGCGAGATTGGGTGATGGGAGGGTCGGTGGACGGAACGGGACCCTAGTGGCTACGACACCCGGTGTTGCGGAAGCTGGGACTGTAAGGCAGGGCTGCTCTCACTCCACCGTTCCTCTAGTGTTGGGGAAGGTGGGGTCCGGTGTTCCCGATCTCGGCTAGTGGTGTTAGGCGTGTTGGGTTGTGCTGGTGTTGGGATTAGGTCTTGTTCTCTCGGTTGATGGTGGGTTGATTTGAGATGGATTCGGGGTTCGGGTTTGGCTTCTGTCTAGGCGGTCTCGCAGTTTCAGTAGAAGTTCCTTGGGCTTGGGATCTTCTTGGATTGACTGTTTCTCTGTTGGTTTGAGCTCATGTGTTGGCTTGGGAAGGCCATACTCTATATAGTTTATTTATATTGTCTTTGTTTCTGTCTGTTTGTGTTTGTGTTTGTGCATTGTTGTTTTTGGGTCTTTTTTTTTTTGGTTTGGACCATTTGGTATCTGTGAGCCCGAGTGTAGAACTTATTATCCTGTTGGGATCCTACACTCGGGCATTCTTCTGTTGGGAGTTTTTTACTTCTTGTTTGTGTAGTAGGTTTGTTAGTTGCGATTGTTTTTATTCTAGCGGTGCTAGTCGGGATTCTAGGCGGTCTTCTGACCTATCCTTCCACTTTTTTCAGTTTTTGGCTGTTGTGTATTCAGCCTTGGCTGCTGTGTATTCGCACATTTGTGCATTTTGATTTATAACATTATCTTTCGTTTCGAAAAAAAAAACAATCACGTAGATTTTTTTGGAACTAGTAAAGTGCACGTGCGATGCACGTGGTGTCGAATGATTTTCGCGGAGTAAGTTTGTAAAATAAATTAATTTATTTATTAAACATATCATTGCATAAATGAAGTAAAATATAGAAAAAAATAAACTCATATGTGATTTTTTTTATTTAGAATTAACGTAATGATGTCCTCATATAAAAATAGTGAAATAACGTTTTACAAACCCCAATAAAAATATATAAAAAAACAATTCCTAATAAAAAAAACACAAATATTTTCTTTCATTTTAGTTTTAGCGTTCTCATAAGAACATCGATAGTCGTTGGAGTTCAATACATCAATACTATTGCAAAATTCCTCTTAATTAATTTGGCAAAACCAATTTTTTTCAAACACTTAAGAAACATTCTGACCCAACATATAGTCAAACTTCATGATCGTATGATCTTTATAACAAGGTACTTCTACTAACAAAGGATAAATATCTCTATGAAATAACTAACGTTGTCACTAAAATTGCTGATATCTTTTATCACTGTATAAACTACTACATTCCTTTATCTCTAGATATATTGGTGTCTACCCCATTGATGCATCGCCCCACGAGGTGGGAATGAATTTTATCTCCAAATAAAAGTTGACTTTCCAAAATCTTTGTTACATGTACTT